CTCGTGAAGTCGTAAAACGAATGCAATATACGATAACAAGATTAAAAAATGCATGTATGCTTCTCTGAATGCGGATAAACTGAAGGCGCAGCCATGCATGCACTTGCAGTATTGCTCCTTTGGGACTGCAGCTCAGAAGCACACTTCAGCAAAAAAGAGGCGCCCTTCGAAATCTAGCGACATAATGAAAGCAAAATGGAATAATTCAGCAACAAGAAGACATACACAGCTGTTGCCGTGGGAAATCAACTATCAGATGAGGGTTAGAAAGCAGTATTGAAGGAAAATCGGCGTTCCTCAGCAGCTTGGCAGACAGTGGGAATTGTAGGACGGACGTAGCAGCACTTAGCTACGAGTGAGCTGAACATTGGGAAGTGCCACGTCTTTTAGCCATCTGACTACTGTTGTGGCATGTACTGGGGCATTATTGTCCCGCTACCAGCGGTGCCGAATCAGAGCACTCCAATTCCCACCCTAGCAGTGTCTACCGTGGATTCTGACGGTGCAGTTCCTTGCTAACTTTGGCGCCGTCTTTTTGAATAAGAGTGCTACCACAATTCTAGCGAGACTAGAGCCTGCGATAACCGTAGGCCTGCCTCCCTGTGGTTATAGGTGGCTGCCTAATGGCAGCCACCCGATTGTCTTGTTTGGTGCCGAAGCCACGGAATCTGAAATGCTCCGAGCTAGCCAGGGCTGGCTTGCCGTCCTTGTTTTTAGTACATTTAAGCGAATGATGCGAAGTGCATGGTGCATGCTAAAGCGCCCTGCGAGTCTGTTTAATTTTGAATCATATTGGGTATACATTCTCCTGAAGCCTGTACACAGATGTTGGTGTACTTGTAAAATTTTCCCGATAGATGTTCGATGCTTTGCTATTCCGTGCAACTGCTTGCTTTAGTAGGGCCGTAGAGCCAAATTGCTGTCACTTATATTTCCTGCCCCTCTGAATAACATATAATACAGTGCCAACCGCGCTGCGGAACGGTGCTAGAACTCAAGACCCAAAACGAGCACTGCTGCAGCCATTGCTGCAGTTTGAAACAGTAGCCGGCCCAAAAACAATGAAAGCATCAAAAGCAGCCGATCACTCAGCTCTTCCTTCCCCACTATTGTTTGGGCGACCGCATTTGCAGTGCTCCGTTGTTCCCCGCGCTTTTGTTAATCTACATCTGTCCTCTGTGGCGCTACACTCTATGTCGCTGCTCCATGCTGTCCAATGCGCTTGATTTCCCTTTTCGTTGCCAATTCAGACAAGAGTTGGGAGGAAATAAATACCAATCCGAGGTAGAGAAGGCGTTCAACAGGTTTTAATTGCCAAGACGGACCGGGGGAAGAAGGGTTTCAGTTAGATGCATCAAAGCACTGCAGCTACCTTCCACATGGAAGGTGGCAAGCACCCGCTACTCTTGGAAGCTCGAGGTGTCAATGCATCGATCAAAGATGAGCTTTTACAGAGTTATGATCTAGTCAGGCACGTAAGGTTTATGTGATAAGTTCTCAGGATATCCTTGAATCATCAGTTCCACCTCGAATGCCGAAAACGCAGAAGCAAGTGATTACCTATCTCGGTTATGCTTTCACTGCTTGAGACAATAGAATCCGCAGCAAATTCAGCATAAGCCATACGCGTGGGGCGACAGGTTTTGAAAAATGGGATCCAAGTACTCTAGTTCCCATGTGCGACGAACTAATGCCGTTTTCACATGGGAGAAGATTTCGCCAACGTATCTCGCCCTCTCATCGACCTACTTCCGGAAGGTGCTTCTTCCTCAGCAGATACTCACACGCACGTCGTACAAAGCTTTGAGCAACTACTGACAAACTATGCGGCGCATCGAGTCCAAAATATCACAAAACCTTTTTCATGCAAGGTCGCGTGCTTCTGGACTAGCTCCAGTGCTTCGGCCACAATCAAGACAGATTGTCTTTTTAAGGTGCCACGTAGCACAAATAGCCTATCTTCAGCCACAAACTGCTAGCTTTAGTCACATTTCTGGACACGTGATGCCACTGGTTATCCTCGTGGTGGTCACTGTAAGCCATAACTGTACGATTATTACTTACTGACCATCGGGCTCTGGCTTGCCTGCAGTGTCTCGGCACTTCCAAGCATCTAAGTGGTTGCACGGCTCTGAGGCTTTGCTTCATAGAGGAGCTCCAAGGCCTTATGATTACTCACTAAGGACTGAACAAAACTAGGTGTCCGATGCGCTGCAGAAACGACCCTGTTCACCCGAACGGACTGCCTTGACTCTAAGTTCCAAACAAAAGACTATTGGCGTCACCGAAATCTGTCATCGAAGAGCCTCAGCAGCATCGCTGCATCGGACTTTCTCCCAAAAATTACAGAATGGTCGCGTGGAAACGTTCGCTTACGCAGCCGCCGCCTCACGGTTTCCCGCTACCTCGCTGTTTCTATACTGAGGACCTACCCGATCCGTACCTGAGGACCTACCCGAGTCATGTCTGAGGACCTACCCGATGCTGTCCCACCGACGTCTCGTGCACTCGAAACTTTCTTCCTCTTGGCCCTTTCGACACTCGCTCTACAGCGCACATCAGCGCCACAACCCGAATTAAGTCAGGTATTTTCGTGAAACCCTTTATTGCAGCCACTATTGGGTGATCAGTTATCCTCGAGCCACATATGGTACAGATACAAGCAAGCAGGATCACTCAACTAATGTCTTGCAGTCTCTGGTCCTCCTCACATTTCGAACGCTCATACTATTGCATTTGAATTCAGTGCATGTGGCGCATCGTGGGTCGCAGTTTCCCAACTCCCTTAAGCACGTTCCATAAACTGCACGTGCCATATACCCACCCAGACTACGCATGCCACAGACGGCAGAAGAAGAATGCTCATGTTTTAGGGAAACACGTCTATTGGTCAGATATGCTGGTCTACAGTACGGCATACGTTGAACCGCGCATACATTTCAGGGCATCTGATGGGATCAACTAGAAGCCAGAGAGCCTTTATCAGGAGTTTATTACTCCCTCAAGCTATCGAAGCCACCTCTGTTCAGACTGCGCTACGAACCTCTCCCTAACTTTTGCTGGTCCACGATTCTGTGATAGTGCTTTTCATGCCCCTCAGTAAGATGCTCATATCACTGGCACGAAGGAAGCATGTGCAGCAGCACTGACGGCCCCCTTTTTGAGCACTTTATACATGCTATCACGTTTTTTTCGCCATCTCGCTATCATGTTCGCCATGTAGGAGCACGGCAAGAGGTTGCGAAGACTACAAAGCCTACATACCTAAACTAAATGCAGAAAAAACTGAATTTTTGTCCTTCTAGCCTTGAGAACACAGGAACTCAACTAACGAGGCACGATCACTGCAGCTGTATTCCAACCGAAAGTGGAACAATGTAGCTAGATCAAAGCAGTGCAACAGAAGCAGCACGTGGCGTAGCAACAATGGCAAGTGTTTCTCGTGCTACGTTTAAAAGTGGGGCTCCAGAAGTGCGCAGACGCTCACTCTGTAGCAGTTAAATGTGGTAGCAGAACACCAGTGGTGGCAGCAGATGCACAATAGCCTGCAGCAGTAGCAACAGGGGCCGGCAAAAGCACCAGTGGCAACTGCCACATCATTATCTCCCGCAGTAAATGCACCCTTTGGCGCAGAGTGAGGCGCTGTAGCGGCATTGCTACCACCACAAGCAGATGCAGCAGCACCAGCTGGCCTGCCTCCTCGCGGGTTGCTCTAGGCCTTGCCTTTTTGTTTCCGCGCTTTCGCCTATGACTCAATTCCGCATCAGTGTATACTGTGACGTGCTTACTCTTTCTCAAATCGCGCTACGGCGAACCAACAGGCAGAATGCTTCCAGCCCTTGAGGCTATAAAGGCGCTCGCTGTCTGTGGCCCATAAGATCTGTGGGGCTCGAATGCAGCTCGCTTTCTATCTCGTGCAACTGATAAAATGCAATGTAAGCCCTGAGAACCTCAGCAGCAGCCAAACCTGCCAGCTACATTTTGCTCGCCAGCGCGGCATGGCAGCAGTCTCGCCTATGGCCTGTCCACTTGCCTCGGGGACCTTCAGCTGCAGCAACCTACGTCCTATTTGAGTGTGCTTTTGTTAAGACTGGAGTATTTTGACTAACATGGAGTGAAGAAAACCCCTAAGAGCAGCGGATGGCCGGTGCCGCCTCACTCTGGTTGTGCTGGGGCTGGGCTCGGGAACTCTCGGCAGGATCACCAGCTCCCTTGCTACCATGGAAGATACAGCTTTGAGTCTCTATGCCATGCTCTTTCTCAATCAATTACTTTAGAACACCCGCTGTGCGCAGTTGCTGCAACGAGCACCTCAGTCTCCCCTAGGCGCTCCGGAGCGCAACACTACCAGTAACTGTAGCATCAGCGTAGACTGCAGGAGATGCTGTGGATGACGAGAAGCAGCACGACATCTCATTTCTCAGATATTCCTATATTGGCAGCTCTGTGTTGGGGCTCTTATAGACCTTCACCAGGAACATAGCGACGCTGCTAGCCTCTGCTGGGGCTGTCTGTCTCCTTGCCCACTCCGCGACCAGTCAGTTCGGTGCTATTCCTCCGGGGCTTCTCACTGCTTTCGTGGTCTCGATGCATGTTCTGCCAATTTTAGCAACGAGTGCAGACTGCAGCATTGCTAGCATCAGCTACAGCAACGGTAGCAGCGGTTCAGTTGCTGATTCGGCTGACAACGGGCCGTAACGGCAACAAAAGGCACTCATGACTGCGATGTTGAGTCGTTGCAGGGGCGAAACCAGCAGGGGACTTAGCAGCTGCAGCAACTGAGCTACAGAGCTCGTCTGATCTTTGATGGGGTGCAGCGCAGCCGAAGAGGCAGAGCCTCAAAGGGCTGCTCTTTCGACATCTATCCGTTACAGAAGCGCCTGCCTACGTGCCGCTGCTGGTGTAACATTTGAGGTCTCTGCTGCTGCAGGGGCTGCCAATGTAGGAGCAGCAGGGGCACAGGCGAAGCAGCGCTGCCTCGGTGCTGCTGCCGCAGCAGAATGCACGGGCAGCAGGCTGTACTCGTATCGGGGGCAAAATCAACACGTAGCAGCGATCAGCGGCAGTTGGACCAGGGCTTGTGTGTTACAGTAGCAGGAGGTGGAGCCGCTTCTGGTGCAGAAGATGGGGAGGCGCCAGGAGCACTGACTCAAGGAACGGCATTAACACGGGAGCACGAGGGAAAGGATGTCGGAGTATCCGCGGGAAACGCTTGTGTTGTGCCCACGTTTGTTACGTGTAAATCATGCAGTAGCAAGGGCCCCAACAGCGGTGCGACTCAGGACGAACGTCTATCTTTCGGCAGCGGAAGCAGCAGTACCAGAAGCAGCGCGACACTCACCAGGAACGGCAGCAATATGTGCAGCCTTTTGATCGCGTGCAGCAGCACCGCGACTAGCTGGACTGATAGCTATGCAGGCGGGCTGGATAGCAACAGCAGCAACAGAACGGATAGTGACGGAAGCGGTGGCGAAGGAAGGGACAGCAGTGGCGCTGCAGATATCCAGCAGGAGGTAACGCTCCCAAAATCCTGTGGACTACCCCCCCTATCTCTGTTAAGCCAGCTCATTCTTACCCCTTACGAAGATAGTGCAAGTGAACAACTTGGCCACCAGAAGCATGTCCAGCAGCAAGTGCTGCTACAGGAAGCGGAAAGCGAGAATGCCGAGGGAAGTAACAACACATACCAAAATGCCAGCCCTGCAGACGAGCAGCTGCGGACTCCACCGTCTTCCAGAAGCCCCATGGAGGCAGCAGTGAAAACAGCAGCAACAGTAACGGCTTCAGGAGCCGCAAAAATAGTTGCAACTACAATAGCAGCGTGCGTTGACGAAGACTTCTTGAGAGCGAGGAGCCATCCAAGGCGAGCAGAGGACAGCGAGGAGACAGCAGACGTGGAGGCTCTGCTACAAGATTTTGCTTCCAGGAGAGGCAGAAAGGGAGTTGGATGTGAAGGGGGGGAGATTAGCAAGGAAGGAATCAGAAGCTTTGACAGCGAAAGAGAAAGTGACCAGAGCAGAGGAGCCAGGAGCGACAAGTGGTCACACACAGGGGATGAGCTTACAGGAAGTTCTGGCAACAAATCCTGCCCGTCTCACCAGGATGGTTTCCCTGACATTGTTGCTGGACTCCCGGTCCAAGTTGATGCTGATAAGGCGCACACAGCATCGGATATGAAAACAGCTGCCATGCAGCAACTGCCCCAACAACAGCAGCAATTGCCCCAGGAACAAAGGCAGCAGCTGGAACAGTTACAAAAGGAACAGGAGCAGCTTGGTGAGTCTTCACAGCGGGAGCAGCAGCATCAGACAGAGCAACAACAGCGGTACGTATTGCAAGCTTGCGACGCTGGCGAGCCACGTGGGGACGCCGTTAAGCTTTCAAAACATAGCAGGAGCAGCAGCTTGAGAAGCAACAGTATAACCGGTAGTACCACCAGTAGTTCTTTGCAGACGCCCCTCAGCTTAGAAAAGAACGCTGCAGGCGCACTGGAGAAACTAGTTGGTAGTCCCCTTCAGCAACACCAGCAGAAGCGGCACGTTGGCATTGCGGAGGAGCCATCGTTGGCACCTCTGGCGGGGGCAGTTCATTTGAAGTTGCAGAGTGGCGACTCAGACCGCGGAACGTACTCTTTTACAGACGCTGGAAAAGAGGTATCTACAGCAGCAGAAACGGAAGCAACAGCAGCACCGGTAACAGACACTGATCGTGCGGGTGGTGTCACGAACATGCCACTTTTAAATGACAGCCAAGAGGCGAGGGTGGATGACACAACCGGAGCTGGCACGAACGGGCGTAATGCCACACCAGCGGCAGCTGATGAAGTTGGCGTAGAGGCAGCCGCAGCAGCAAAGGAGCGTTTGATAGGACGCTTGCGTTTGTTCAAGGATGGCTTTCCGGCGCGGCTACGCTGCCGCATTTGGTTGGCTTTGTTGGATGTGGGCGATTTGGGCCCTTTAGAGATGCAGCGGTTGTCGACTGCCATCCAAAGGACGTCCCTTGACGAGCCAAATCAGGTTAGCCTCATGCCTCTTCGGCTTTCGATGTGAGGCGTCGTACTATTGCTGGAGCTGCTATTGCTACTAGTACTTCTGGACTTGTTGCTTTTCTGTCATGAATGTTGTAAGGTTGTTTTGTGGTGCGCAACGGTAGGTCCGTGGCGTTCATGTGTTTTGGAACCTACATATTCCCTTTTAGTTCATCGAAAGTCTATTGAGCGCTGTTTATTGTTTGTTACTTTGGTTGCAGCGTGTAATCAAGAGTGACGTGGAGAGGACCCGCGCTGGGCTGGCTGTCTTTAGAGATGCGAAAACGCGCCGTATGATGGAGCAGATGTTGACTTTCTACTGCAAGTCACACGGGTTGAAGTACAAGCAAGGACTCAATGAACTCTTGGGTGAGCAAGAGAACCAGAGCCACTGGCGCGAGAAGCACCAGCAGAATTGGAAGTACCAGCAGTAGCAGTAGGAGCACTGCATACAGCACCGAGGAGAATGGCAGTAGGAGTGGTAGCAATTCAAGAAATCCGCAGCAAGGACCCTTGTGGGTCCCCGCGTAGGCATTATAAGTGAATAGGACAGGGAATGCATGAATGAAAGCGATGCATAGTTGGCGACGGGGTCATATATATATTATAGTATAAAAATGGAGCAAGAACTGTTTAAACTAAAGAGCAAGGGATATTCCAGAAACTGCAGTCAAAACTAGAAGTAGTGGCAGCTGCTAGCTTTTCTTACACATGGTAGTTTCTGTTGCTGGCTGCGGTCGGGTGTGTCTGTTCAATGCAGAGTAGAGATTAGGCTTTGCGAAGTTAAGTGACTTTCGTGTGCTTCATTTTGCATTATTTATCTTGGGTATCCGCATGACTGTATGCGCTTGCCCAATTTTCTGTTTCTTTCTCTTTATCTGAGTATGTATGCGTATGTGTGTGTGTGCGTCTGTGTCTGTTAAGCGCCGTTTCTTTATCTACGGACTTCCGAGGGAGGGTTCGATGAAGCGGAGGCCTACTGTTGTTTTGCTGCCTTCGTGCAGCGCTTTCTACCGGCGATGTTCTCAGACGATGACTTCACGGCTCTACAATGTGCCTTTCACCACTTCAAGCTACTACTACTCTATCACGACCCCACCTTGGCCACCTTCCTAGGTGAATCAGACACAAGTTTGTGCCCTTCATGCTTGCATTCATGCATGCTCGCATGCGGGTATGTCTACAGACAAATTCCATTGTACGCATGCCTGTATGCATGAATGTGTATGCACTCCTCCACGTGGGCGATATGATAAGTTCAAAAATGTCTGTATCCGTATTCCAGCAGCATGGTTACGGTTGCTTGATCACAGGGTGTGAAGGCGCCAGGATTGTTTCGCTTTCGGCTCAAGCGGAGAGCAGTTGAGAGCGTCTGTAGGGACCGCCCTGAGAAGTTTCTGAGTCTTGTATTTCTGGCTGGTGCGTGCAGAGCAGCACTTCGCGACCCCCGAGCTGTACGTGACCCCGTGGTTCCTCACATTGTTTTCTTCTAAGGTGCAGCTGCCGGTCCTCTTCGTGCTGTGGGATGGCTACCTGCTGGAGGGAGACAAAGTCTTCTTCTGCTACCTGTCCCTCGCCATCCTCATCACCAACAGGGGCATTCTTCTGCGTACGGAGATCTCGCAGCTCCCCGAGACGCTTAGCAAGCTGTCGATCGATTCCATCTCAGAGCTCAAAAGTGTACGGCGATTTCTGCTGCTGTTGCAGCGCGTTTCTTGCAGCTTGTGCTGCGAAAGCTGGTTCAGCAGCGGTTGCTGGTGCCGCTGCGACTGTTGCGGTATTTACTTTGTGTCTAGATGTGCAGCAAAGGCAGGAGAGGGAACATGCAATTGTGGAGAAGCAGCACCAGCAATTAGAAAAGTTGAAAACCTGCAGCCAATGCTCCTTCTGCTGCTGATGCAGCAACAGCACTCGAAAAACTGCACAAAGAGGCTTCAGATTGTTGCTGTCGTTAGCTTTTCATCCTTTGCGTTACGGAGAGACGTCTGGATGCCCTAGATTTCAGTGCATAATCTCTTCTCTCTATGTATTTGCTGCAGCTGTGGCGCCTGGCGATGGAACTTCGCCAACAGACGCCCCTAAGTTTTGCCCACATCTTTTGTGCCTATCAGGTCAGACTGGAGTTCCTAACTTGCTGCTGCTAGTACCGCGACTCGGTGCAGGTTTGGATATTGCTGCTGTTGCGTCTTTCATTATTGCAGTTTGTGCTCTCTGTACAGGCCCCCGATGTTCGTGTGTCTTGCCGTGTTTGAACTTGCTTCTACCGTTGACCTGCATGCTTGGAGCTCTTGACTGAAATGGTCACAGGTTACCTTATTGTTGCTGCCTTGTGCAGACCGGAGGTCAGGAGTCTCATGTGCAGCCACTGCAGCAGCTGGAGTCTGAGGGAGCTTTTTTCATGTTGCCACAGGAAGTGTTGAAGTAAGTCCGGTCTTAACGGTGTTGCTGCCCGTGTGACGAGTGACAATTTGGTTCCACTTGGGGATTGCCTCTGCACACGGCGACATGTCTGTGAAGCTCTATACAGCATAGAGCTGCATTTGTCGGCTTTCTCACCGTGTAACGTCTGCTTTGGAGATCCTGCACTCTGCGTGATTCTGCTGTGGCCGTTTTAATCACCGTTTTGTGTTTCTGCGGGGGCATAGAGACCTACCGAATGATTGTCAGGTGCGTCCTTCTTGTGTTGCTGCTTACCGGCTTCCCAGTCACGCCTACGGCCGGGCTTCAAAACCGCTGTTTCATACCTGTGGAGCCAGTGGATCGGGGAGGCACTGTAACGACAGCAAGAGGAGCGGCGTGTTTTCCGGGGTCCCACGTGCGTTCCCTAGCCAGCAGGAGGTGAAAATTCGCCAGTACGGTGCTTTTGAGGCTTCTGGGTCTCCAGGAGCTCCCCAAGCACCCCCACGTTGGAAAGTACTGCTGCTAGATCTGCGCCCGCAGTGGCAGTTCGAGGGAGGGCGGCTACCCCCAGCCATTCATGTTGATGCATTGGGCGACTGGAAACAGACCCTGCCTGCCCTTGTAGGCGCTGTAGACCCGGCTACCATCTCGGAACCCACCACAAACGCTGACGCCACCAGTAGTAAGCACGAATAAGTTCCAGAAAAAATAGCAGCAATGGCAACAACGGGAACAAAAGCAACATCGGAAAGTGTATTTAGGCTAACTTGACGGGTTGTGGACTGACCCCACGGTTTCTTTCTAGCTGCTCCGTCAGCAGCCGCAAGGGCAACAGCGACAGCAGACCCATTAGCAACGCAGCAGCAACTTACTTTGAATTTCTGGAAGACGCTGTACTTGTGGTGCTTGCGGTGCAGTGAATGCAGGGAACCGCAGCGGCGCTTTGTGGAGCCCTACAGTCGAGCAGGCTGGGAGTTCGGGCGCACTGGAGGGCAGACGGCTTTCGCGGAGTCGAGGTGCTCGACTGCTGCGGTCTCTCAAGTGGCGAGGCCACGTTGAGGAATCGAACTGCCCTTCTGCTGTTGAGAAAGGGTTCGCTTTGTCTGCGGCAGAACCACCCGCAACATCAGCATGCATGCACAATCATGGGAAACGGGTTCCCTTGCGTACAAGGTCCGCTATTCATGAAGCTTTTGCTGGATACATGCAATCAGCCGCAGCGTCACGTCGATCCTGGAGCTGTGGGACGGAAAGAACTGATCATCAGCAAAAATGGAAGGTTCATATAGCAGCGAACCGCCACCTCAACTGCCGCTGCATGTCTGAACCACTTTTCGAGAAGGATGTTGGGGTTCCTGGGTGGACAAATACGCCGGCCTCTGAGTGGATCCAGTCAACTGTAGGACGACAGCATCCATCACTTGCCGCTGCAGCTACTTTTCCAAGGGCAGCGGCTGAAAGAGGTGATGATGAGTCCACAGTATCCGAGTTGCGCTCCTTGAAGAGTCATCCGCTGTCTCTGGGGCCACTTGCTGCAGATGCAGATAGCCCAGGCTCGGAGCACTTCGCGGACACTCCGTTTAGTCACGCCGTTTCCCATTCAGCAGATGGCTCTCTTCTTCCACTAGTAGCACCAATACGAGTGGAGCCAACACGCGCTTTCACGGAGTTGGATCGGTTTAGTTCAGACAGTGGGATGGAGCACAGGTTGCAGATAACGGGGCCTCCTTATGCGCAGCAGCGGATTGAACAGCAGTATCATCAGCAGAGTCATATCGAGTGGCAGCATAGAGTTCAACAACGGCACTGGAACCCAACGCAAGGGCAGTGCCAGCAACACCAGATGCAGGAAAAAGGCTGTAGGCAATCTACGGGCGCTCCGGCTACCGTGAGATCTCCTGGTAACGCTCTGCGACATAAAGACGAGCGGAACACCAGCACATCGACGAATGCCAGCAGTGCTGCACGCGTTGAAGGTAGCCCACAAGAAGAAGACAAATCTGGAGGACCTGCTGGGCCGTCGCCTGATGCCTGCACTGAGCACGAAATATTCTGCTGCACTTCCTTTACACCCGATGAAAACAAGAAGGCTTACCGCATTCACAGGCTGCAGGTCCCAACCCATCATGTCTGCTTGCTGACGGAGGACGGGACTCTTGACTCGGATGCCGTAGAGATCTACCATTTCCTAACAAGGGAATTGGCCCTAAGGTGAGTTCGTCGCACTCGAGAAGGTATTACATGCTTTCGTCAGATTTTTCGGTTCGCTAGTTCGAGTTGCTATCCGCATCAGCCGCTGCAGCGGCACGACAACAATGCAGCGGAGCTGACAGCTAGGGCGTTTTGGGACTGTGAAGTAGGACTGAAATCGCAGAGCTGTTGTGCAATGCCATACGCCGTTATGTCACAGCATTCATGCTGACTCGGGATGGTTTGGTGTGTGGCGATTCTTAGGTGGGTCTCGTTTGTTCGGGGGGGCTATGCGGCGTGTCACTGGCTTGCTGTACAGCAACAGCTTGAGCTAGTGGATCATACAGTTAACACCTGCGTTCTCTGCTACGGTGAGCAAAAGCGCGAAAAGCAACTGCAGCGCCCAGTCGATAACGCACGGCAGCTGGGGCTTCCCCGACGCAGCCGCCAGTCAGTCCTGTCCAGAGCCTGGAGCTCTTCTACCCTTGCTTCAGAGGCCAACTACTCTTCGCCGATGATTCCTGCAAGCAGCCATCTTCATGCTTCTTCTCCGTCTCCCGGTGTTGATCATGTACAGCAACTGCGCCACCAAGAGCCGCAGCACCAACCGGCAGGCAATACCACTGCCAGGCAGGGCGGTGGGCAGGGTTTAAACCTTGGGGGTATTCTAGGTGCTTGGAGGCGGTTGTCTAGCGCGAGGTCTCCTCGAGGCTCTCCTTGGAAGGGGCGGAAGCCAACAGCCGTGTCGGCAGCTGCAACATCCAGAGCGATGGCTCCAACGATGCCATCTGGGGACTGCACGACTGCATCTGGCGATTTGTGCACAGATTGCATACGCGGGAGCAACAGCACACGTAGCTGCAAGAGTGGCAACAGCACTGACAGCAGCGCGGTGTTTTCTGGTTGTGCTCCGCGGCGAGAGGCCCCTGCAGCGCTTCAGCTGCAACGGCTGAGCAGCAGCGACGAAGGGCGGCAATGCGTTTCATGTGGGAAACCGCTTGCTGTGGGGCTTCACAGAAAGCTGTCAGGTTCCGCGGCTACTGCTGCGGAAGATGCTTCATTAGTCGCACCTGCCGAGGCCCCCGCACCCCAGCCACAATTTCAGCGATGGGCTTCATTGCTGTCTCTACCTGCGCACCGCCTGGTGCTCCTAAGGTCTCCCCGCAGGGCGCTGGAGTTCTTCTTGGAAACTGCTGACGTCGGGAGGTTCCCCTGTTTTATTGAAGCTGTGCTGCAGCCGCCACTACACTTGTTGCTGGAGCAGCTTGCTGTTGCGGAAGCAGTGGAATCAGTTGAACAAGATGCGAGCAGAAGTGGAAGTTTGCCGCTGATTGCCTATGAGACGCGCGATACAGGACAGGGCCCAGCAGGCCGCGGTAACAGCTGTATCAACGAGAGCAACTGCAGCGCCGCAACCAGCCCGGCAATCGCTGTAGAGATGAACCTGGATTCTGGAGTTTGTGGTTCGCCAATTGCACTTCTCTCAAGTATCGCCCGTCGCACGTCACCGGCTGAGTGCCCCTTGCAGGAAACATCTCTGATGCGTCGGTCGCTCAGTCTGCTGCTGCGATGCCATTCCTCAACACCCGTGAGAAGCAGACTCATGAACAGTTACAAGGAGCATGGTCAACAACAACAAGAGCAACCAGCTTCAAAGGTTGGCTCCGGAGGCGTATCCAGCAAGTCCAGCAGCTGCAACTCCTGCCACAGCACCAGCGATTCAGCAGCTGTGGGGATCTCGGTGACGGAGGGATATGAACATCTATCATCTTGGCTCTTCAATGCGCCCGACAAGAGACTTTGTGAGGTGATAATAACACCTTATCGACTTGTGCTTGTCAGCGGCGCGCACGAGCGGCACCGCAAGCACCAAGAACTTCAGCGGAAGGAGCACCAGCAGGAACAAAAACATTCACAAGGCGAAGGCGAAGCGGGGGTTGCCGACATAGTGGGCATGAACCGCTTCCCGGAGAGAGGTGATGGTGGCTCATCAGAATATCAAAGGAAGGCTCAGTGGAAAGTGGTTGCGGACCTTTTGGGAATCCGTCCTTCCTGCCATTTTCAGAGTGACATACAGCAGCAGCAAAATCAGCAGCAGCAATTGCAGGACTCGCAAACCCAGCAGCAACGCCAGCAGCAGCAAATGCTGCAGCGGCAAGCTGACATCACATGGGAACAGGATGATTTAGTAGACTTCTATTCTTCGATGGAGCTGGGAGAAACGCATAAAATAACGAGTAGGAAGAACGACCCGAGATTACTGTGCTTCTACTTCAATGCGACGAAGGTTCGCCTAAACACAGCGGGACAGGGTTTGGGCTCTTCGTCTCGTCAGGCATTATGGTTTAATTAGTGTGATGTCTTGTTGCATGCGTGAGTACCTTGTAACTTTGCTGGGTTGACTTTTCAGTCTCAGCCGCTTATGATATTGAGGTTCCCGGATGACGTCTCTGCCAAGGGCTGTATAGCACACGTTAGGAGTGAGTTGGCTTTATGAGGAAGCAATTCTGCAGCAGAGCCGCATGTATCGCTATTTCCTTCTCCCCGGCAGTGGAATCCTGTTAGGGGGACGGTAGAAGAGTATCTTTGAAGAGGGTGTGTGCATTAGGACAGTGCTAGCCGGAGCTGGGACTCCTCCAGCAACTCGAATCTGTTTTTTCTACGCTTTGTGTTTGCTGCTTCCGCAGAGATGTACCGCGCCTATCGCATGCGCCGGCATGAACAGCAGCCGCAAGTATAGCATCAGGAGCTAAGACAGGGTACATCGAAATGCGGCAGTTAGGTACGTGGGACGCTTCCGCTGCCTCAGTCCCGCTAATTTTAGCTGGAGACGATGGAAAACCGTTAGGGTATTGAAATAGCCGATTGTGGCTAGCTTTCTGAATTCGTAAACAGACGCAGCACCAGATATTGTTTGCAAAAGATGCGCAGCGGACCCTTGCCGGGCAACGTAGAATTGAAACTTGAGCTGCCGGCGTTGCGTGGTCCCTCCTCTCCTAGTTGAAATTGCTTTTGCCTCCTCTCTCCGTGAGATACAACTCATGACTTCTTTCAAGCATTTTTGAGGCTTGGCGTTGCTAGCTTTGAGCATATTGTCAGCAGGCCGCCCTGCAGTTGGTGATGTTAGAAGGCTCATACTGCTCCAATGGTTACATCCAGGCGCCCACACCAATTTGAAGTATGACTGCCAGCATCTACGCTATTGTTTATATTCCTGTTGTTCGTGTATAGCAGCCTGAGATGCATCGATAATCGTGGCATTTTAGGCCCACTTTAACTCGTACGGTGAGAGGTTCAACAAGCGCTCAGAAGCGTTGCCTACATGTTTCTTCGAGGTTTCATAGAACAGTTACCGTTTCACTTTTTGAAACTGGGCACTGCTTATTGTAAACTTAAATATTCAAAAAGGTTTTCTGAAATGTGTGGGGTTGTAATGATTGAACAACGATACCCCGCGATATTTGCAAGAGAGGCAAATGCTTTTGAAAAGAGCAGCGAACGTGTAAACAGCGGAAGCAGCTGCCTTCGATGAGAGCAGTGCAATTCTAGGCACCTATAGTGGTGGCCGAGCTGGGCCAGCCCGACTAACCCATAACGGGAGCAACGTATTGTATGGTGTGAACTGTGTTTAGTAGTAGGTGAAGCTTTATTCACATTTACTGGAACGTTTGGGCTGCCATTGCAGCCGTGGAATTGCCTACGGTTTGCGATGACGGTGTTTGGTAGGACAGTGAAACTGCCCTTGGCAGGGCGTCTGTGCTGGTGCAAGGAGTTCGAGGGGCGGCGGGCGCCTGCCCATTTTGTAGTGCGACCTGAAGACCTGAATTGGCTGGCTGAATGGCAGTCCAAAACGTGCGTAGGTCTGGACTGCTCTGGGTGGACACTCCATATGTAGTGCTAGGGAACCACTCACCCCATTAGTCCGTAGCCCCTGGGGTTTCATTGCTCTTATTATTTGGTTAATTTTTGTGACGATGGACCCTCGTATTTTGACAGTTGGAAGACCTTCCAACCGTACCGTTGATCACAATCACATTTGCAGTCTAGGTGATACCGCATTTTCCCTATATATCAGGTTGCAAGGTCTTCCTTGCAACCTGATATAGAGGGAAAATGCGGTGGGTGTCTCCTAGACTGCAAATGTGATATTTTAGGTGTAGAAACGGAAGAAACACAGAAGGGTTTTCTCTTTGTCCGTGACCGTATAGTGTTGTCGACGCACGCACCTGAAGCGAGACATGTTTCATGGTTGACGGCGTTCAGGAAAGCCCCAGTTCTTTAATGTCAAAGCTGAAATATTAGAGTCTTCGCGCGCGGAAAAATATCCCATCCCGCCTGCTCTGGAGGCGCAAGCCCCCCACGAAATAGGCGGGGACTGCACGATAATTGTACACTAGGAAAGACTGCCAGGAAACGCGACACCGCACCCTACTTGGCATCGGATGCAAAGCAGCTGTAAGTGCAATGTCTAACGATTGGGCAGAACCCTTGGCGCAAAGAGCAAAATGCGGTGGAGAGACGCATTTCCTCATGCCAGATTCAGAAAGAGCCCACTGCCATGTAGCAAACTTGATAACAGGGTAGCACGCTTCGCAACGGGAAAGACCACGCTAACTACAAAGCTATGAGGAACAGCAGAGAAATTAAGCGGCTATTGGAGCTATCGATATCACACATTTGACTTAATCAGACAATCCTCGGCTTCACGGGAGGATGCGCAGCACCCACACCGAGCACTTAATTTGAAGGTATGCATACACTCGTCTGAAGTACGGCGAGGAATGGTTCACTGGCGTACGCATCTTGTCGCTTCACTTACGCTTTTAAGCTACGGCATTCCACCTGTGCTAGCAGGTGGCACTGCTAAATGCTTTGTACGCAGCAACCAGGCTTTCAGCCTAAGAGGAGAGGTTGTAGCCTTAACCTCTGACATAATTCCGATATGTCGTCGTTTTGCTACAGACCTACAATATGACACGTGAAAACATAATATCGTGTTCTCGCTCAAGCGTGGAAACTTTCTTCCCCCTTGCACACAAAACTAGATTTGGGATATTCTGCGCCTACCGCTACGTGAATTAGAACTGAACAATATCGTAATTGAAGCCGTAAACGCCTGCCACATTAGGATATCTCTCCCCGTGACCACTTATGGAGCTACACACGAATTGGCCTTCCTCTACAGGCGGCTTGTTTGTCGCTGTACTTGGTTGTTCGTTGTTAAGACTAACCTCACCCGAGATCTTGTCTGGAAGGGAGCATCGAATTTGGAAGTCTTGTTGGTTTGTCCGACTTTTGGATACAAGCTCTTCACAGTTACCGCTGCTCGTCAGTTGCGCAATAGGCTCCCTCGGTAAATTATGGTTTTTCTGCCCCATGTCGGGCGGTAGCACGTCGTATTAATTGGGAACCGCTATGGGACAACTCAACGTGGATCGATGGCTAAGAGGTGGCTCGCCAAAACGAACTGAGAAAAGGAAAGGCAAGTACTAAATTGCGTGAGTTTCCAGATTTTTGCCATATTGAAGCCCCTTTTAGTGAAAATGATGTGGGTTCAAGACGTTTTTGGACCGCCCAGGCTCCAGTCTAACACACAACGGGGCGTAGTTGGTGCTCTGTACCTGCGCTGTGCAACCGGGATAGAAATCCGAGGCAGCTCATCAGAAGTAAAAAACAGAGGTAGAAAGAAAAGCACCGTAAATAAGGGATGAATGGAATCATGCCAACGCAGGAAGAACGCCACCTATTCTCCTTTCACTTACTTAATCCTTCTGGGTACACACAATGCACGCTTTCACCCTGTTGCTCGCATCCAGTCGCTCCACGGTCATGGCGCATGTCTCACTTGGAACGGTATCATCGACCAGAGTGACACAGTGCATGCTGGCGTTTTCTGATGGTGGTGAATGTGAAGTGTCTTTCCTTGTAAATGCGCAGTGGCAATTGAAGAAAACTAGACCTACGGCGAGCGGCTTGTTGAAAGCCCTACAGCAAGCCAACCTTCCGCAGGGTCCATGCATGATGACTAACGAAGACAACTGAATTTAGTAACACTGGTGTTCTTCTGACGGTGAACTACACTTGCTGCTCTAAATTAAACGCAACACACTTTTTCCCCCTCTGTGGAAAAGGTAAAAAGCCACACAGAGGTATTGCTCACTGGTCTCTCAAAGGTCATTAAATTTGATAGCGTGTTCCCAGAAGTAAGGCCAACCCAGCAGAAACACCGCCCGCAATTTCGAGGAATTGACCTCACTTCTTTGGACAGCAGGAGCTACCTACCTCAGCACTAGCAAGCCCCGGAACATTGGAAACCAAGCTCAGCACTAGCAGGCCCTGGAACACTGGAAACCGACCGCTTTGGTCCCACGGGCGAGCTAATTGAAGTCCTCAACACGCCGTGAAATCCCGAGGCAAGCGGTAAAAACGTGCTCTGCAGAGGGAAATTTTATGTTACTCTACTTGTTCTGACCTGGGGATACATTTATTGGCAATAGCGTCGGCTCAGTGCTCCCCCAATTGAACTGTGGTGTAGCTTACACGCATTCCCCAAAATCCGGATGGGTTGAGGGGCGGGAACCATTAGATAGCCTGTTATTTGCATTATTTCCGGCTGCTGCCTTTTCGTTGAGGTTTTCGTGATTTGTGCCTCTTCCTTAAGTGTTTCTGTCTGTTTCTTCTTAATGGTCTCGTGGTCCTGAACGGCCGCGTTTTCCCCTCCGGGGTTGTTTGAGGCATACCGGAACGGCTGGAGCTGCTACCAGCATTCGCGCCCTTCAAAACTGTTGAAGCGCTTGGTTGAGATAGTTGGGTCTCTTGGTTCTCTGAAGATTTCAAGTGCTCCATGAACCCGCCCACCGACAATGAGACGCAAGATGCAATTTGCCATGGGGAGGCTGCCGCTTCTTCAGCCGACGGCGGCAACAGTCGTACGTTCTGCGTCCACAAGCAGGCGTCAAAAAAATAAGTGCATTTACACGTATAAGGTAATTTTATTACTTACACTGCAACGGGCATCAACAAAACGGAACCAATGAAAAATCGCGCACTACAAAAGGGGGATTTCAGGCACTCATAACAGATAGTTGGGGGCACCTACGGGGCGTGACGTACCTGCATGGGCTCTACTGCATGGTCCTGTGATAGCTGAGCTTCTGCGTTGTTCTCAACGCCTACGGAGACGTAACATGAGGCTGCGCGAACATCGACACGTTTGTATGTAGGGCATCACATTACCTTCGTAAATGCCACAGCTTGTGGACGGACAGCTGGGTGAAAAATACTCCACACATACAGCAACTTACACTAACTACATATAAGGGCTGCCACGCTACCTGGATGCTTACAGATAACCCTGTTTACGTGCATTACATCCCTTGCGGGCACCGACACACGCGCCGGAAATGAGACGTACTAGCGCTCCCGGCTGCATTCCTGTGGCGCTTGCTGCTGCTGCTGCTGCCTTTAGTTTGAGAAACCAAAGTTCTAAGACCGCCTTCCAAAGTTGGAGTAGCTGCTGACTCTGCTAGAAGTTGGCTGTGTCGAACGTGGGTAATGTGCTCTCTGATCTTTTCGCGGCGCTATAGGGGGAAAGAGCAAGCAGCACAGGCACTACAGCAAAGGGAAAGTCGACACATAGGCAGTCACGAAAATCCTCAAGACTGATAATTTTAATAAAAAATTGTCAAGAACTTCAAAGAGGGCTTTCAACTGCTGTAGAGGCACATCGGGGCATTGGAC